ATTACCAGAAGTTAGGCTTCTCAAGGATAGGTTTTTCCCATTACACCACACCCTCTCATTTCCTTGATGGTGTTTGCTACTTATCCTAATATTTCTGGTAGAAAGAGAAGGATGTCAGATTAAGAATTTAATTAAATTCAGTGATTAATCATTTAAAATCCAATGCTGTGTTGGAGGGATAACCTCCAAATGAATGCCCAGATCTCTGTTTCTTAATATAAAATAATAAAATATTTCTTTCATAATAATTCCTGACACATGTATGTTGGGCAACTTTCCTTGAAGATTAACTGCTAAATGAGGATTCAGAGAATCAGGCGCCTGCCATCTCTTGATATTGCCTTCTTAAGAACATGCTATGTTAAGTCACTGAAGAAAAACAAAAAGCTATGTGAGCCATCATGAAAGGGCTGTTGAAGAGCAACTGAGTAATGAACAGACGTCCTTCAATTGGCCTGGTGTCTCATGACCCCATCTGAACCTCAAGGGGGGCTCACAAATATTCTCTCTGGGAAATCAGGAAGAAGAGAAGGAATTAGTGAGCTTCTCCCTTCTCTCTGCACCAGTCCACCTTTCTTGTCAAATATTCACATCATGCTTCTACTCCCTTGTTACAAAGGATTATTACTTTCCAAGAGAGATAACTCCAAATTCTTTCATTCACGGAATTTAGCTCAAGTCCATGAATTCTGATTATGTATTGTCCTATTCAAATAATGGTGGTGGTGGTGAATCACTTATGAATAAATTATCTGGATATGTATCTGTCAGAATGAAGAGAAAGCTAGTTTTTCATATGACCAGAATATGGCAATTAAGAGCATTTACTCAGCTTATGTCACAAATGTTATCCTCTTTTGAAAAATAGCACTTTCGTCCTTCTTTTCCATTTTGTGTATCTTGTTTCTATTATTATGTCTCTGCTGTCATTTAAAGCATTTGAAGCTTTCCAGTACAAATCATCCTCTATCTAAAGATGATGCAGATGATTAGAGTGATGGCGATGACTGATAACTATGTATCAAGATGTCATCTATGCATTTTACACATACTGTAACTCTTAAAGAATTATAAAAATCTGTTGAGGGAGTTATAATCATTTTCTCCAGTTTATGATAAGGAGAATTTGAAAACTTGATTAAACTATGGTAAGTAATAATAGTAACTAGTGCACTGGAATTCGAACAATTCAAGCAGTCTGAATCTAGAGAAACAGAGTACTTCATGATTTCTCAGGTTAAGATGGAGTGCAATCAAGAAATAGCCATATATGAATCAGATATATTTGACTAAACAAAAAACTTGCACATGAGATAATAAAACATGGTAGTTCGGTATAAAGATAAATCAGTTCCCTTTTTTATATTCCATATGCATGTATGGCTATATGTATCTGTTAGATTATTTTCTGCTCATTGATTAAAATTTAAATATGGCCGATTTTATAATCATTTTCACCATTGCCGACTGATATAGAGCTAACATGACTGAAAGAATAGTTTTCTTTTACACCCTATCAGACAGTTTAGATTACCTTTTTAAATTCAGAAGTTAGCTTTAAAATGGTCCTATTGAGTAAAAACAATGAAGGGTTTGAGAGATTACACTTATTAAGCAACTGCCTTCACAAAAGTAACTGAGGTGGGGCAGCCACCCTTGTTTATGACAAGGAGAGAAGACGCCTACCTTTGAATTTACTGTCACACAAGTTTACATGTTAGAAACAAAACATCTTTCACTAAGTTAGAAATCAATGTTAAATTTAATATGAGAGCAAAGAGATCATAAGAACCAGAAATAAAAAGGCAAAATATTTTATGTGGAAGAGAGTAAAAAAAAAAAATCTATGGAAGTCAAAATAGGGAGATCAAAAACTGTCATTTCAGGTGGTCAGCAATGACTCTGGAGAAAATTACTTTCTTAAAATCAATGAAGAGTCTTTGAGGGAATAAATAGACTGTAGTTAGGAGAGAAGAACAAAGTGTCACTCTATGTGTTCGATGAGGTGATTTGCCATTTTCCAATATGTATTCATCACTTGGGTCGCTTTTTGCGCCCTTCTGGTGAATGGTATGGGATGAGGTGTTTGCTGTCTGTGGAACATAGGAGGGGTAGATAAGAGCATTATGTAATTCATATAGATGAATCCCGTTCTGTGTGATTAATGAACACTTACTTCTGCTGGATATCACATAAAAAATTAATAAATGCTTAGAATTTGTGTGGCTAATTAATTACAAGTGCTCTTAGCATTGAAAGATATAATACTATAAAAGAGCAAAATTGGATGAAAATTGAAAGGAAAGTAAGTCAAGTAGCATCTTTGCAGTTGACTTAAAATATGGACAAACTTATCTTAAGATCAAACAATTCTGAGATGGTTTCTACCAACAAAATACATAAAATCTTGATAACTAAAATCATATTTATAAAAGTACATTCTGTTATAATAAGATCCTTTTTTCAGTAAGAAGACTAAATATTAGAGATAATTTTCCTGAACCATAAGACAATCACATATAACTTTTCATGTACTAAGCAATCATATTTATTAATTAATGTTTGCCAAAAACACCTTTCTCCTTCCCATCTGAATTATTCTGATCACATACTTTGAGGTTATCCCAGCTAAAAGAAATCACACATATACGTAACGCAAACAGACTGGTGTTGCCCCTAAAAACATAACCTCTTCTAGAAACCAAGTAAAAAGTAAATAGAAAGAGAAGTTTGAGTATATTAAATTTCTCATTAAATCTATTTTCAATGGACTCATTTCATTCAGTCTCTGAGCAAGTGGGTCAATTGTTTTTTGTATAATGGCCTCTGTGCATCTGAAGACAAACTATGTCAGGAAATACAGAGTTTGAAGTTTTTCTTAGCCTCAGTTTTGTCTTTAAATTATTTCTTTTTTGATCACTTATTAGTTATTATTTTAATTGTTATCACA